TATTTTTGGCAAATATCGTAGGTTTGATTCCCCGACCACCTTAATGCAATTAAACGACATTTCTACTTTAGAAGCTCGGAAAAAGTTCAGTCGTCTTTCCTTTCTTTACAATTGTTTGTGTGGTATTGTAAAAATTGATCTCCCTGACTGTGTTAAACCGCTCTCAGTTCGACGTACTCGTCATGGTCATGAACATGCTCTAACCCCAATTTTTGCCCGATCAAATGCTTTTAAATATAGTTTTTTTCCTAGAACTGTCGATGACTGGAATTGTTTGCCGTGTGACATCTTTCATTCTAATAAGTTTCTTGGTGACCTTGAGCGTCACCTTCTTTCTTAACCTTTTGTTTCTTTTGCATTGTTGTCTGTTGTTTTCTACAATTACGTTTTGATGTATCCACTCCTGCTTGGGCCAGCACATTGGCCTGCAGTATTGTGAAATAAATAAAAAAAAAGGAAGCCAATTAGTTCATTTTAGCCAGATCAGCCTCATCGCGTATCCTGTATACTTTACTGTCGGTTGTCTTGCGAGCTTTGATTTGGCACTTTGTTTTCCACAAAAACATCCATTTTTTCTCTTTCTTTAGAGCCATAGCCTTAGAAAAGAGAGCCTTGTTCGCGGGGTCAAATGCTCATTTACGTACACGGGATTGTTAGGTGTCTGTGTTATGTTGATGTCCCTCAGGCATAGCTTAGCTCGTCTGGCCTTGCTTATGAACTCAGTCTTCTTATCCCTTGAACAAAATCCCGCAAGAAGGTTTTTGTTGCATTCCTTTGCTGTAGGAACACGGTGAACGATGTCAAGGTCAAATGGTGACACCGGGCATCCGATCTTTTCACCCACCGTTTGCAAGATCCATACTGACGCAAGCAGTGTAGGGCTAGGAGTTGTCCTAGGCAAGAATATTGACGGACTTGAAAGGGTCATCAGTTATGCAAGCCGGTCACTGTCTAAGGCGGAAGTCAAGTTTTTTTGTTATTCACTCCTTTTTTGTTATTCCACAACAAAAAAGGAGTGTCTTGCAATCATTTGGGCTACCTCCAAATTTCGCTTTTACCTCTACGGCAGGCCTTTCAAAGTTGTGAGCGACCACCATGCCCTCTTTTGGGAAGCTAACTTGAGGGACCCTTCAGGTTGCTTCGCACGGTGAAGTCCGGGACTTCAGGAATTCGAGATTCTCGTCGTTTACAAGTCGGGGCAAAGGCACTCTCACGCCGACTGCCTGTCTCGTGCCTCTGTCGGCCCACCGTCGCAGGACAACGAGGACGGCGACTGCTTCCTGGGAACCTTAAGCGTCGATGATTTTGCAAAATGACAGCGTGCCGACCCCGACATAAAGGGCCTTGTAGAACACCTAGAGGTGCAAGGCTGCCTGCGTTCCAAAGGTATTCAAGCGAGGACTGGCGTTGCTTTTCTTGTGTAATGCATCCTCATCAAGAAAAAATTTTCACCACATCAGGTCAACTACCGCCTCGTAGTAGCTTCAGCGTTACATCCAGTAGTTTTAGATGCTCTACACGATGACTCGGCTGGACACCTCAGTGTTTCGCGTACACTCGGGAGAATACAGAAGCATTACTGGCCACGAGTTGCCGCCGATGCCACTCGTTCCGTCGGGACATGTAGAGACTGTCAATGACAAAAGATACCGTTGTCTAGGCCAGCCAAACTTCTCCAGTCTATCGAGGCACCTCACCGGCCGCTTCAGCAAATCGGCATAGACTTACTGGGGCCTTTCCCGGCGTCGAATTCCGGAAACAAATGTATCGTCGTAGCTACTGACTACCTCAACCGCTGCACCGAAACAAAGGCTCTGCCCAAAGGCAATGCCACCAGGATAGCAAAGTTTTTCGTCGCAAACATCGTCTTGTGTCACGGAGCTCCAGAAGTCCTCATCACAGACAGAGGTATGGCTTTTATGGTGGACCCAACTCAGGCAGTCCTAAGGTACAGCCAGAAAAGTCATCACCGGACCACTGCCTACCCTCCACAGACCAATGGCCTTATTGAGCGTCTCAATAAAAGCATCGCCGTTATGCTGGCCATGTACGTGGGCGTCGAGCACAAGACATGGGATGCAGTTTATTTAACAGCAATAAATAAACGGTCCTCAGTTCAAGTCGCAACTATTTGAAACTTTCTTCTCAGAGTGAAGCACTCAGCAGCTTTGCTCATCGAACTACTATCGACAAGCCAACGGCCAAGTTGAACATTTCAACAGAGTTCTGAAAGTGCAAATTCAGCTCGCTCAACTTGAATGCCGCCCACTGAAACATGCTGTTACAGAGTACTTAGGCCCGTATCCTTTTACACCTCAAGCTACTACAGGCTTTTCACCTGCATAACTTTTGCGTAATGGCCCACCACATTCTGAAATCAACATTGCAAGGTTGCCAACATTGAATCCTGTGAAAACATGAGTATTCCATAAGCAACAGGCAACCAAGCAATGCATTGATTTAAAGCGCAGAGCTAAACCTCCTAAGCTTCTAGGTGGGCCACAGGGTTAAAGCTCATTTTGCAGGCAAGCAGATTAATTACGAGGGTCCGTAAACAATTACTAGTTAACTTAAATTGAATTCATTCCGCCTGAATGATGGCAGTGTATATAATGCTTCAAAGCTCATATTGGTTTATGTGCCGAGCAAAACTCAACTTCACAGCAGAATCCACTTTCTCTGCCTCACTCTTCATTCATGCAGCAGAATTACTTCCCACATTCGTGTTCTTCTGCAATGCCTCAGTTATTGACTCTTCTACCAACTACCTTACAGGCACCTCCACAAGAAACAGCTGATGTGCCCAGCGACAGAGCCAATTTTTTGAAGGGGGAAAAATGTCTCGGGTACGAATGTGTCACATACAGACACTCCAGAATCACTACCACATTTGCACTCTTACGATGAGCATGTAGGTGAGCCCCAAGGCTCAAAATCTGAGATAAATAAGGTTCCATCAGGGAATCCTTCACCTCATTCTCTTGCATGCCGTCGTCCCAAGCGACGCCATAAAAATCTGGCACGCAAGGATTATGTTTCTTGAGCATATTCCTGCATTTTTACATGCGATAACAACTGTATAATGTTGTTTTATTTTACTATTTTCTGCAAGATATTTTCAATGTTTATGCCAAATTCTCATGTGCACCAAATATTTATTGCATTTCTACTGGTCTATCTTATGCATGTCACTATATGTCAAAGTTTCAGCCCTTGCCACTGTATTATGTTCGAAACAACTGTAATTTACTATATGGCGCTAGTTCTGGACAATTAATCTGCCTTCTCCTGTACAAGTACGCAAGAGTTTGCGTCTCCTTTTCTTTCTAGGGTGAGATGATGTGGTGTCGGGCATTTCATGTCCTAAATTCAAATATACTAATCTCGGAGTCATAGACCTCCGATTAGTTTTGGTTTTGCGGAATGTGTCGCATAGCGCCACACTATGGCTATAGTGTGTAACCATTGCTACGGGTTGACGCGCACACTCTGAATAAAGAGTCCCCTCCTCGCTCTCGCCTCACGCTCCTTACAGTGCCCCGGCACTAACGCGTACATTGTCTTGTTGCACAGTGCATCCAGCGGCGATACAACATCTACCAACAGACTGCCAAGAATAGAAATGATGCCATTTCACTCTGAAGGAAACCATGTGCAAATGCGAAGCAGCGGCGCTAATGCTTACTCTGCTGGCAACGTTCATGCTGGTGCACGGTGCTGCGTTGCACAGGAGTAAAACATGGGGAGGTGCAAACCATGCAGTGATGTACTTGCGTTCGAACATGCCGATCACTGCTAATTGGCAATGAGAGACAGAAGAGTCCAATTGTACAGAGAACTGCAGCCCGCTTTCAGTTAATGCACATGCTGCGAATTTTTATTGCTGAACAAGGCACAAGAGAAATCTCTCACCTGCACTTACCCTGGAGGTCAATGTCCAGTGCCCATATGTACGGGTTGGGCATATTCAACAATTGTGTAGCGCGAGCAGCCGGTTTTTTCTATCGAGAAACTCGCTGCTTGCATCAGGGTTGCAAGACGAGAGAGGGGGAGCATAGGAAAAGCGAGGGAGGGGGATGGCCGCGAATACGCCTTGAAGGTGTAAAAACCCCTGCGAGGGATGCCTAAAGAAGAGAGAGAGGAAGCGAGCGTAGGCTAGGAGACGATGCCTGCATTGGCGTTGCAAGAGGCAAAGAGAAGAGAAAAGGGGAGGAGCATGTACGCGCAGCAAGGGTGGTCACACTGAATACTGGATGCTTCGCATCTAGAAAAGCGTATTAATAATAAGGTCAGCTTCTTCGTTTGATCAAAAACGCTTGTTGCACAAGCAAATAAGTACTGAAGAAAAGTTGATGCAGTGAAGAACGGAGAGGAACACACACAAGCCCTTTTTATCTTCCGTTCGACACTGCATCGCCTTTTTTCCGCCACTTACATGCTTGCACGTGAGACACTAAAGTGAAACAATGACTGTTTAGAACGTTACTGTTAATTATGGGAACTTTGTTCACCATCATCATTTCATTATTAGTGGAGGAAATCAAGGTTGATGTTTTATTGTTAAATCTCCTGCCTAGATTTCCGCACTTCATGTCACAAATTTCTGAATGTATTTTTTGTATTTTCATGACACGGGCTCTGTAAAATTTTCTGAAACCTCGTATGTTAGGTATCTGTATAACCTCAGATGACAATGTACCTTTTTTATCGATTAGAAGCTGCGCAGAACCAGTAGACACCATCAAAATTTATGACGTCACGGTGTTTCGTGGGGGGAATCGCAAGGTGGTGTTGCTGTCACACATTTTTTTACTTAACAAGCGTCCTAGTGTCATTTCACGGTAAGAGTGGTGTTTATGGGACTCTGAAACTGTACTCTACAATCATGCAAAAAATTCTTTTTCTTTTTAGTGTCCCTTCACAAGTGCACCAGTCCAAATTGCTCTTTCGTTTCCATCATGCTCCTTTATATAACGCACAATTCTGGCACTCATTCACAGACCAATGTGGGGCCCATCCTAGTGTCGGTGAACGCGTACCAGGACACGGGCAACCCGCTGACACTGCGCAGTGCACACGCAGCCTCCCGGTGCCCACAGCTGCTTCAGGTGGTACACGAGGCGGCCAGACAACAGGCCGAGACCGGGTACCCGCAGGCCATCATACTAAGGTATCATTATGCCGGTCTCATAATACTTCTACCAGTCATGTAAAACTTTTTCTTGTTTTTATTTTTGTAGATTCAGTTGTTGAAATTGATATTGCTGAATATTTACTCGTAACTTGAGGCATTACAGTGTGTACGAATATTATAACTGCATATGTACTTGTATAATGATTTTATTTCAGCTTCAAGATATTGCTTCATCTGTATCACTGCATATTGTGTATTTGCGTTGTATTTTTTTCAATTTTTTTATGCATCATTCATTGTGGATTTTTGTAAAATTTTATTATTGCCTTAATTTTTTAAATGTTTGCATAGTTTTTTATTGTTGTGTTTTCTACCTGCCTGGTTTTTAGTGACTGCAGCATGTTCTAAATAAAATTCCAGAATTATTTCATGTCAGCATCAACAGAAAAGAATACAATGCTCGATGAAAGAAATCAAGTGCACCAACAAAATAAAAGATAAAAAAAGAATAATGTTTCAGCTTTCATACCATGCTCACAATAAGTCAAACAACTAGTGAAATGCAAACCTCCTTTTTTTTGAACTTTTATCTGGTATGTGTTTATACAGTCGAATCTCCTCGATTCGAACACGCTTAATTTGTACTTCCCATTAATTCGAACTCACGCTGAGGTCCTCTCATAGCTATGTGTATTCCAATGGGCAAAAACACCCTGTATTACGAACGCGCAAGCACTTGCGACGGCTAATTCGAACATACCGCGCTTCGAAAATGCTCTAAAAAAAAAAAAACGTCACGCTTGCACGGTAGGCACAGCACAGTGACAGCAAAAGCTAGAACAGCGGCCTTTCAGAACCTTCTTGAAACACTCATTGGGTAATTACTGCAAGCACACTTACTTGATACACATTAGGTCATTATTACTAAATTTATTTGGGTAGTAGGTCAGCATTTGCTATGCTATTTTTCGTCATTCTTCTGAGAATCGTGGTATCCGCTAAATGCTTGCAAGTAGTTTTGTGCCAATTGTTTATGCAGTGGCTGACAACGACGTGGGATTATCGCTGAAATGAGTATGCGCCACAGTTAATGGGGGAACAAGAACAAGCTTTTGTAAGGGATTGGAGCATCGGAAGGCCTTCTCTTTACGCTATCTACATTGTGCGATGACTGGTTGTTCTTTCGCCGTTTTAGAACGCTTTATAAGTCGTGTTAACGTAATTGCTTTCCCGACATCCAGCCTGCCTAAGGCAAGTTTCACAACAAGTCACAAGCACCGGTGTAGCTCAGTGGTAGAATACTGGGCTGGCACCCAGTGGACCCGGGCTCAAGCCCCACTGTGTCATTGGTGCTTGGTCAAGCCTGCCTAAGACAAGTTTGACAACAAGTTACAAGCACCAGCGTAGCTCAGTGGCAGAATACTGAGCTGGCACCCTGATTCTATCCCCACTGTGTCATTGGTGCTAAGTTTTTTTCTAACTTTGTCTGATGTGGTTACGGACACCAGCAGCGGCGGTGGACAACTGTGCGTGACTCAAGTTGTGATCTCATAACAGCTTTCACTGTAAAAATGCTTTCTAAACAATCATTTGGATGCTATAACACACCATGGGTACCCACAGCGCTGTAAATAGACAAACTTTGTGTAGTAGGCCAGCATTCTCTATGCTATCCTTCGTCATTCTTCGTAGAAGCGTGGTATCTGCTACACACATGTAGAAAATTTTGTGCAATTTTTTTGATGCAGTGGCTGACGACGATAAAGAAATATGCGTGAAATAAGTGGGTATCCGCCATAGTTATTAGGTGATCAAGAACAAGTTTTCTACTGGGTTGAAGCATCGGATGACCAACTCATTATGCAATTTGCATTCTGTGACGCCTGGCTGTTCCTTTGATGTTATAAAACATTTTATTACTCATATTAACGCGATTCCTTTCCCAACATCAAGCATGCCTAAGGCCAGTTTATAAAAGAGTTCCAAGCACTGGCGTGGCTCAGTGAAGGAATACTCGGCTGGCACGCAGCAGAGCCAGGTTCGAACCCTTTTGTGTCATTGGTGTTTTTTTATTTACTAAGTTCATACAACTAGCTTGGCTCAGTGGTAGAATACTGGGCAGGCATGCAGAAGACGTGTGTTAGAATCTCATTGTGCCATTGGTGTTTTTTATTTACCGAGTTTTTTTCATTTTCTACGAGTTACGGGCGGCAAGGGACAACTATGGCACTGCACGTGACCTGTGTTGTGATCTCATAACAGCTTTGACTGTGAAAAAAAAAAAGGTACTTAGAGAAATCAATTCATAATAAATGTTTACACAGTTGCTCCACTGTAAAAGCAATCAGTGCGGAGATGTAGCAAAAATAAAAGTTTCACTCGCACACAACCATAAGCCCTTGGGGGAGAACAGTGCAGCGTGCGTGCAAACTCTTTTTTTTATTATGGGGGTGGGTATTTGCCTTTTCGCGTACTCTTTTGAAAAGCTCCTGGATATCCAAAGGAAATGATGCTTCGAAAATTTCCAATCCTTCATCTGATATTATGTCCTGCTCCATTATCTAGTCAATGAAGCCTCATCATTTTAGAAGGCCCCATTGGTACTGGTAAGATGTATCAGTTTTCTTTCTCAGTTGTTAATTGTACCTCGTTTGCAAACTAATCAGTTTTTTTTTTCCGTACCACTCCTTTGTAGGTGAAGTTTGGGGGTGGTGGGATGTTGACAGCTCCATCAATGAGAGGCACTTTAGGCGAAAGTGTTAATTTCCATGACTTTACAGAGGAGCTCATTGCCTTTTTCTACTTCATAAAGAGAGGCTTACCACAACATCACAAATTTTGGCATTGGGAGCATTGTGCTCATGCAAATGTAAGAAACTCGAAATTCCAGAAATGTAGAGCCGGTGCTATATTAACTACCTTTAAAAAAAGGAAGCGCTTGCTTGTATTAGGCACACTCGCGTACTGGCTTTTGTAAGTGCGCATGAAAAGGATGCAAACATGGTAGTAAAGTTACAAGCCTGTCATCTCGTTATTTACCCTGTCTCATCGAAGCAGCCTGCTACAACATGTGTACTGAACATAAGTCGTCATTCTTTTCTGGCGCTTAATCATCTCGCCTCAAAGCGCACTCTCATATGCAGTGAAATATGACATCCTTGGAATCCTGAAATGTACAAAAATTATGCAAAGTGTCTTTGTGCCCCCAGACGCAACAAGGAAAACTATGTACTCGCTAATGTTGTTCTAGTTGCGAAAATATGTGAGAAAAAGTTAGCGAGCGAAGCATGCCTACACTTGAAAGCTGTGCTTGGTGGCCGCTTCACACGATTCGCGCAGCCAAGTGCTACCCAAGAGCCCACCATCGTCGTCTCGAAAAGTGATCGCAGATTGTTCAGAACCATCTGGTTCAATTAGAGGCACTACACACAACATTACTCGCACAAAAACAATGCGAAAACCACGTACCCTATAATGCACCCATTCCCTTTCTGCTCTGTAATATGTCGGCGTGTCGGGTTCAGCCACGAAGCACCTCCGCCACTCCAGAAGCTTTAGTATAGCCTCCTTGGGTCAGACGAGCAGTGTTCTTGTGAGCGTATCCATAAGTGCACAGAAGGATGGATTTTTTATCGTGATTGAATGATTCTATCGACCTTCAGTGATGTCGACAAATAAGTTCTGCATTGTTGGTGGCTCAAACACATACGAAAACCCGCCAGAAACGCACTTTTACAAGTTTCTAGTGCCGTTTCATGAGCAAGAGCTATGGCGGTTTTGGATTGCAGCTATTCAATGCAGAAGGGAAACAATCATGCTTTGTAGACTACAGTGTTGGAAGAATTACCGTGCTTTTATTTCTCAATTTATTTGCTACGCCTTCAGCACACGCTGCTACGTTTACACTTGGTCGCCCCGCCTGCATTCGGGATGCTACAGTGAACATGAGGTTGTAATTGTTATTGATGAAACGCGGTGGCACTCACGAAGAATAGATAGCGCAAAGTGCCATGCCAGAGAATATAGAACTGGTGGTGGCTCATTTACAAAAGCACCATGGAATCAAATGGGTGGTTCACAGAAAGGACAGATAGGGAGCATCGCAAGTACCTTCCCACAAAGGGCTGCTAAGTGCCCTGTTCTAAGACAGTCACGCGAAACGGGACTTCCGGTTTGTGCGTCTTTGCCGAAAAGAGCATTAAAAGGTTCAAGCCCTTCGCTGACAGCACCAAGGATGCCAACTTTTGAAGTCCAGCATCTTCAAAAAGTTTTGTAGCGGTTGCCTTGACTTTGGAAGGTTTGACAATCGTGATCTGGAAGTTGCTTGTGACTGCAGCACCTGCCTTTTCTTCGTAGATGACTGTCGGCGCAAGGACAAATCCACCTTTACGTTGGCTTGAAGCAGTTTGAGATCTGCAGTGCATATGGCGTAGCCAAGTTTGGCATGAGGTTCTGAATCTGCTTCATTGGCAACAATCAGTCTGCTCCTTTTTAAACGCACCAGTCTCTATCTTCAAGAGAAGCTCGTGCAACAGTGCTTCTTACCAGGCTCAAGAGCTCTACTTGGTCCAATTTCGGTGGCACGAAAAATTTTCGGGTCCTTTTTCAATGCACTTTTTATGACAGGTGGAATGCTTCCATTTCCGAGAATCATGACTTGATGCCCAGATTGATGTGTCAGCTCCTTTCTTGGTAAGCTGAAGAACATCTTCCGCAGAGGAAATTGTTGTCTGGGAAGCCATATGCAGGTCTCTGCAGTAGGCCCTTGGAGCACAGTTTTGCGATGCCTTTTTCATACTCGCATAACATAGGCAGTCCGAGTAAAACTGCACTTGATGTCAGGCCCCTGACCATCGAATTCGGCATGGTGCTAAAACACCAAATAGTCAAAGAACTTATGGTGGCAAAACTGAATTCTTCAAAGCAAATGCATACAAACGAGTTTGAAGTGTTTCGATCTTGCATGAGCAACGAACCACTGAATTCTCTATTGCTAACTTCCGTTTTTTTCACCTTGAAATCTTTTGATCCGACCA